GCAAGCCTCTTTTCCTCCCTTATATTGTATGCAGGCTACCCGCCCACGCCCACACCATCTCCATGCGCTCTTCTTCCACAAGCTGAGGATAATCACAAAGTAAGGACCCTGGCCCCCTGCTGAGTCACTTAAACTTTTAAACTTCTCAAGTTGACACAAGGGGTAAAGGCATGTCCTTTGCACCCCAAGACACAGAGCTGCTGAGTTACTTAGTTAAGTTTCTAGACTCCTCCAACTGACACAATGTATCAACCATAACACCACCTCACTCTTGGCAGCAAGGACCTTTTGTTAATTTGTTAATTAAAAAGGTTACAAAATTTCTCACTCATGTGGGTTATGGAGATTGAAACATAGCTCTTTACAAATTAAAACCTGTAGGATGTTTCAAAATCCTTTTCAGTTTCTGTTCTGAGAATCTGTAATGCCTTTTGTTTCTAGAGATCCATGTCTACATTCAACATATCCAATTCCTTTTTCTTTGAATTGTGACTGGTCTCAAAGTGATGCTACAACTTCACTTACATTAGAATGATGTAATGTATAAAACACGAACATCCAGTGTAAGGTAAATGAATGCCCGTGAAGCTGACAGGAAAATATCTATCATCACTGGTTCCCCAGACAAAGAACCATTAGATTTATAGTCAAAAGCCTCGGAGTGCAATGGCACGTAGAAACACCACAACAACACCCGGGATTTGGAGGCAGATTTATTTATGCACTGACCGGGATCATTCCCAGAATATCAGGCCTCGATCTCTGGGGGTCTAGGGCTTATATGGGATAAGCAAGCAGGAAGTACAGAGGCAGAATGGCTTGTCAGTTAGGGATTGGTTTATACAATGTGCATCACAGTGACCAGCTGTTTCTAAGAGACAGGAGCAACTGGGTCTGGAGTAGGAACTATTACCTGGGCAACTAACAAACTGAAGTATACTGGCGATGGGGTGGGGCGGGGGCACAGTTTCCTTTAGAGGAGGCCAGAAGCAAACAGGTTGACTTGTGCTGTGGTGAATGAAATAGTGAAGCAAAAAAAACCCTCTCAACTAAGCTTTCTACATCCAGCAAAACTGTTCTTCAAAACTGAGGGAGAAATTCAGACATCCCCCGATCCAAGCACGGAGAGATGTAGTTCCTTCCTACTTGGCCTTCTGTGGTACAGGCCTCCTTCAGGTTGAAATGGAAGAGCCGGACGTCGTGGCGCACGCAGGTAGTCCCAGCAGTCGGGAGGCTGAGGCATGAGGATTGCTGTGAGTTCAAGGCCAGAGTGGGCTGCATAGCAAGACCCTGCCTCGTTCTTTTTGGAGTCAGTGGGTTTCTCATCTGTGTAAAAGCTATAAATATTTTTGTTGAGGATGTCGTGGGCATTACATTGAAAACCCTAAGGTCATGCCATGCTGGTGAGAATCTGTGGCAGCTGAACGTAGCCACATAGAAAAATCAGGACTAGTTTTGTTTTCTACATGGTAGAGTCTCATGTGTCAAAAAGAAAACAACTCACCCAATAGTATTGTATTTGCTGAGACACATTGTGGCACATGTGGATGCAACTACAAATCACTCAGCATGTGGGTGAGTGATTTTTCCATGTGGCTACGTTTAGCTGCTACAGATGAGAAACCCACTGACTCCAAAAAGAACGACTCAAAGACAGCAGTGCAGAGGAGCAGGGACAGGAAGCTGCAAGGTGAGTGGGAGATTAAACAGCCACGTGGCAGAGGCAAACTCTTCCTGGGCACTAATTCCCTTCCTGGAAGGGGCACCACCCTCCCACTCAAAGACAGAGATTGGGAGAAGGGACGGGAAATATGATCCAATGAGATCCGAAGACAGGGGCTGGGGATTTAGCTCAGCGGCACAGCGCCTGCCTGGTGAGCGTGAGGTTGTGAGTTCGATTCCCGGTACCAGAAAAAAAAAAAAAAAAGAAAGAAACAACCGTCTAGATCAGAAGACGAAAAAGGTAGAAAAGGAAAGTATGGATTTGCAGTCAAGACAAGGGAGACAGGGACATGGTGTGGGTAGGAGCATAACACTAGATCCAGTGGGCCATCCCCTGTTGTTCTACTGTAAACTTGTACTTTGGTGTAATAGCCAGCTGTGTGTGTCTCTACCTTTCTCTGAGGGATACTGGAAGCAATCTATGTGTTTATCCATTTGGTATGACAAACAAGATGTGTGCACATGTGTAAAAGTGCCAAAAAGGGCCTTTTATCCGTGTTAGACTCCATCTAACTGGTTTTGGGTGCTTACCCAAGCATCACAGAGCATCCAATAGACCCTTACAACTCCAGGATTTATTTTTTAAATGGTTTATATATATATAT